GATCACACTAATCCAGCACGTTATTAATCTCACGTGCCCCACTCAATATGGCCACCGCTTGAGTGGGGCAACTCAGAATAATAACGTGCTGGATTAGTGTGATCCTAGTTCATTTTATTACTTCATTGCTGTGCTGTATGTGTATAGGCCAATGCTTACTTCAGAAATAATAATGCTATTAATCATAAATTTTCATATCCTCCTATTTTATTATACTATTAAATAGTGTCACGCTGGGCTCCTTACAGAGTAAATCTATTTCCTCAATAATGTATCACTCAAGGCATACCGCTGTTCCACATTCCTTCAAAAAACGTCTGCTACGTGCCGCTAGGGAAGCTGTGATTTGCTGGAAGTGACAATGACTGAAGTTGAAATACCATTGGGCACTTTCCTTGAGAAGATCAAATATCTTTTATGGGCTCATTCCATCATGCGATGCATAAGAATAATTATGATGCGCAAAGTGCATTAACGCCTGGCAACCGCCACATTCTGGTCTATTGCATTCATTGAGACAAATTCTTACTTGTTGATAGAAGTTCCTATACTTTGTTCTTATCAAAGAGTTTGTCCCCCTCTCCCGTGCTCCCCTTCCCTGTCTGGAGACCCCTGCAGTGTGTGTATTTTGCTTTTTTTATAGTTACCTTTTCCTTGTGTCTTCAGGCCAGTCATGACATAGTAGTCATGAGCCATGGGTAGTCCTCACGATCACGAGTGGCAGTGAGTGGCACACAAGTGCAGCAGGCCCAAGTGGCTCCGCCGGCTAACGAAGGGAAGGGGGGAGGAGTCCGGTGACGTCACGGACATAGACGTCACCGGACTCCTCCCCCTTCCCTTCGTTAGACGTCACTGAAAATTGACCTTCCCGGACTCCTCCCCCTTCCCTTCGTAGCCCACGGAGCCACTTGGGGAAGGGGGGAGGAGTCCGGTGACGTCGATGTCCGTGATTTCACCGGATCTCCAACGGAACTCCCGGAAGACCCGGAAACCGGCAGAGAGGTGAGTACCAATCAATTTTTTTTTAGAATAGGCTAAATTGTGGGTTGCCTCCCTGTGGGCTCCTAGTTTACACCTCTCCCCCTATAAATAAATTGATATAGAAAAAGAGTAGGAAAATAATAAGAGTTTCTGGAGGGGTGTAATTGACCATTCAAGAGAGATTTGCTACAAATATATAGAATTTTATTTAAATAATATTAGTTAAAAAATATTAGTGCATTACATGTATTGATCAAAACCCTACATGATCTTGGTTTGTATAGTCATTGATAGGATATATACATTATTGTAAATCCAGATATTCAAAATTAGCATGATATTGGTCACATAATTGGCAACCACATGGTTGCCCCTATAGTGCTTAGACTAAATAGGTCCCTTTGTATAAACATTGATTGGATATAAACAATAGCATACATAAAAGTAGTCAAATTAACATGATAGTAATCACAGCGTTGACAGTATTGTGGACAACAACATGATTGCCCCTAAAAGTGGCTTAACTTAATAGGTCCCGACGCGTTTCGCCAATGGCTTCATCAGGGGACCCACAAGAGATAGATCATGCAGGGCTAGTCAGTAAGGTGAGAGAGATACTTGGAGGATCGAGAGGGCGGAAGCCGTAAGGCCCCAACAAAACCTCCACGGTCTCCTATTGAGTCACACCCGGGACCCCAGGGCCATACGGAAGGAGACGACACCCAGCCGCCCAGCCAATCACACCGGGAGGTGTTGATGCATATTGGGGGTACGGCCCGGTTGGATAATGGTATAGTCCTATTAGGTCTCCCTGATGGTGTGAGGCTGGCTGCTTGCCTCCAAGGTGATCTCCTCAGGAAAAAAAATTTAATCGATCAAAGAAATTAACGATTAATCGAGGAATTAATCATTAATTTCCGCAGCTCTAAAAATATGTGCTTACCTTTCTCCATAGCACTGTGCAGTCTAGCCTGTGGTCTAATAACCTCCCCCTGTAGTTCTATTACAGGCAGAAGGAAAGTGATCATGTTTCAGCACACACTGCAGTGGGTGGAGTAGGGAAGCCTTAGACTGCTGATCTGACCCTGCCCACCCATTCAGCCGGAGGGCTGAAAAATCGGAACACAGACCCAGCAGGCTGCAGACAAACGGCCTGAGATAGATCAGAGTGATAGAGCTCCGTCCAGTGTGACTTCAGGGCCGCACCTCCCACGCCCTCTCCTCCTTGTGTGCTGACTTTTGAGCTGCTGAGGTCGCACTCCTGTCTCCTGTGTTCCTGTCTCCAACGTCCCGTCTCCAGACCGCCTCATAGTAAGTCCTCCTGGCTGCTGTGTTCTGTATAACCCTCCTGAGACCACCCATAGACCCCCCTGATATCATGCACAACCCTCCTGAGGCTCCACAAAGCTCTCTTGACACCCCACAGTTCTACTGAGACCCTGCACATCTGTTTTGAGATCCTGCACATTCCTCCTGAGAACCCGCACAGCCATCCTGAGACCCTAAGCAGTCCTCCTGAGACCCTACACAGCCCTCCTGAGAACCTACACAGTCCTCCTGAGAACCTACACAGTCCTCCTGAGAACCTACACAGTCCTCCCGAGAACCTACACAGTCCTCCCGAGACCCTGCGCAGCCCTCCCGAGACCCTGCGCAGCCCTCCTGAGACCCTGCGCAGCACTCTGCACAGACCCTCTACTGTAGACATCAGACTGTCACCCGAAGCAGCACAGAGTATGTAGTTTCGTATTATTCTGCATTGCTGTATGATTTATTGCTGTGATTTGTAGTCCTCTACAGCTGATGGTATAATAATAATACTAGCTTCAGCTATAGAGGACTACAAATCTCTGCAATACATTATACAGCAATGCCGAATGGCAACCAGCTATAGAGGACTACAAATTCCAGCAATAGTACATTATACAGAAATACAGAATAGTATTATTATTCAGCACTTCTATATAATGTATTGCTGGGATTTGTAGTCTTCTATACCCGGTTGCCATTCTGCATTGTTGTACAATATATTGTCAGGATTTGTAGTCCTCTATAGCTGGTTGCCATTCGGCATTGCTGTATAATGTATTGCTGAGATTTTGAGTCAGTGGTAGAACTACCAGGGTAGCAACGGTTGCGGTTGCAGCTGGGAATGAGCCCTGGCGCTCCACCACTGTCCTAAAATCATTGGTCTGTATTCCCTTAGATAAACTGTCACATGACACTAAAAAAAGGTATTGGCAATTGGTATCGGTGAGAACTTGAAGAAAAGTATTGGTGCTTGTACTTGGCCTGGAAAAAATGGTATTGGTGCATCCCCGCTACCGTCCATGCCTGTACCAAGGTACAGACATCTAGTATTGTGGACGGGAGGCAGAGTTAAGGGACTACCAGTGCAGTGATGTCATCACACTTGTATTTCTCTGAAACTACAAGCCCCTCTGCCACAATAGCAGATGGGGCTTGTAGTTCCTCCTTCCTGTAGATTGATGTTGTGGCTGTGCATGACTCCGCCCAACATTAAAAAAACAGCAGCCTGCTGGGAGAAGGGCTTTTCATCTGATCTCTGACCTCCGGAAGTGACATCACGTCACTTCCGGCCAGTCCAGTGGCAGAGGAGGCCAGATGAGCAGGTAAGAGGAGCTGGGAAGGAGGGAGGGAGATGCAGCCCTGTCCAGCCCACCTGAGACCCCTGCAGAGCCCACCATGGAGAGTATCAGATGGGCTGTGCAGCATCTATGGTGGGCTCTGCAGGGTCACTCTCAGGTGGGTCCTGCGTCCAGAGCCTCATTAAGCCCTGCGTCCAGTGGATCACTAATCCCTGCGTCCAGCGGGTCTCGAAGCCCTGCGTCCAGCGGGTCACGAAGTCCTGCGTCCAGCGGGTCGCGAAACCCTGCATCCAGCGGGTCACAAAGACCTGCATCCAGCGGGTCACAAAGACCTGCATCCAGCGGGTCACAAAGACCTGCATCCAGCGGGTCACAAAGACCTGCATCCAGCGAAGGGGGGCATTAGAGTGTAAGCTCCTCTGTACACAGACTGGCGTGACTGTGGGGGAGGGGACATTAGAGTGTAAGTGATGTGGCTGGCTCAGTGTTCTCTGTACAGCATTGCGGTATATATATACCTTCCCCGAGACTGGGCGGTGCTGGAACTCTTTGTAATGGAGCTGCTATTTCACACAGCTAGATGTCCTCTTGGAGTGTGAGGAGGTGGGGTATAGATGATAATGTCATCATCTACCACGGTACAGAAAGGATTAACACAACCTTCTTATATCCCCCTCTAACATTACAAAGAAAGAAAAGAAAATTGAAACCCTAACCCAAATAAGAAAAAAACAAACAAACAAAGCAGTAATTTTGGTTAAAACACAAATATAAAATAGATCATCTATCCAACATGAAAGGACAATCATTTATATCAAACCACATAAAGCATAGCAACAGCTGGATCTGTCGGTGGTAGTTCACATGCAATCTTATTGTATGTGAACTATGACATGCGGACTAGGGTTGCAGCAAATGATTATTTTTATAAACGATTAGTTGGCAGATTTTTTCAATGAATCAGATACAAATTAAATAATTATCATTTATTCATTAATATTTATTATTATAGGGATCCAACCAACTAATCAAAAATGAGAATAGTTGACAACTATTCTCATTATTGTCTTATAATTGATTAGTTGGTTGCAGCCCTAATGCGAACTGCTATTGACAGATGCAGCCATTATCACCCTGTCATTTACTTGCATGGGTTCAGCAGCCGCAACTGAGCGAGCACACCTGGGATTACTGCCACAGGAACCAGTACCCTATTGCAGCAGGAATCCTACCACACAGCAAAATCAATTGCGTGAATGTAGACTAACCGTTTATTCCTTACGCACAAAACTCAGGACATGTTATAACACATATTAAAAAAATTGCAACTTTCTACCATGTAAAGAGAACTATTTTACAAGAAATTAAAGCAAATCAAAACGATTATATTATCAACAAAAAAGTACACACCGTCTCAAACACCGCATAGACGCTACCATAGTTTGCTCCGGGTACCAATCCTGGGCCTCCTACCAGTCCAGCACAGACATTGTTCACTATGTTCCCATAAAGGTTGGGCATCACCATCACATCAAACTTCTGGGGGCTAGATACAAGCTACAACAAGACATAAGATTTAGGAATATGTGGACAAGAGTTGGAAGCCATTGTGATATCTTAAATCATTTTTTTTACTCTTAGCAATAACACAAAATTGCATTGCTTTACCTGCAAAACATGTGCAATATTAAAATGTATATATTCGTGTATGGATGCATAAGCCTACATGTCTAAGTAGGAAGTAACGTTAAAAAAAAAGCATTTGTTGCTATTTAGCAGTTCAAATGAATCTCTAGACAAACACCTAAATAAATGTTCCTATAAAAGAAAACAATATGAATAGTCACCCACTTTTTTATGTTTTGTGGTCATTGAATGCTTAATTACAGCAAGCTTTTTTGCAGTGATTAAGTTACAATGCAAGAAGAGAAGGGGTGTATTTGTCACTGATTTAACTAGAAATTTGCCCAACATTTGCCTATTTTGAAACCAAGATTTGATTTCCCACATTCACATCTGAAACTTGCCAAACATTCACCCTTTTTTGCCTTGAACAATAATCAAACTGTTCCCTGGTTTAGAGAGGGGAATTAGTCTTTTAAAGTATTTCTGTGTTTTACAAGTGTGGATTTTTAGTGCCCCTGCTATGCTGATACCAGCCCATATGCCCTTCCGCATCGGGGGGGGGTGCCCTGAGAGGGAACTCTATGGGACACCTTCTGACATCGCTGGACCCTGAAAGTTAAGTGTTAAAGAACTTTCTACTCCACGTAAAATCCTTTTCTCATTTGTCCAGTGAGGAACAAAGGAATTCAGAAGCTGTATGGCCAATAAAAAGCAGCCTGCCCGAGTTGTTATAAACGGCAAATTGCTAACAAAAAATCAGAACTGGGGACTGCCTGCACCTAAAAGAGCCGTCTGAAGAACCTTTTTGCTTGAAGATGGAATTGGATGATGAAAAGATCTAGTATAATGCACCTTGACAGGAAATGTGGAACTAAGATCATATGCCTGAAAGACTGTCTGAGCCACTAAGAATTGGTGGAGCGAGAAGCAGGTTCCCCATTATCGGGACCATCAGGAATGAAATAGAGTATTAGTCTTGAAATAGAATCAGTGGCTGTAAACTCAAACTGAAACAGCACATCTAGGCAATGAAGGGAGACCTTCTTTTGATGAAATGGGGACGGACAGAGCGATGGAAGAATAATGTCCTGGTTAAGGTGGGAACCACATTTATGAGTCAAGAGGGGAGCCACAGCAAGATATCGTGCACAAAGGTCTTGATCAGATAATGAGAAACCAGAGGCTTAACCCTTGATGGTGTAAGAACCAAATGCTGGTCCAAGTCCCTCTGCAAAAAGGCCAGGATTCATGCCACTGAGAATTTCCTAGGATTATAGTTTATGGTTTCCAACCAAGCAAAGTATGCCTTCCGTATGCGATGATGGACCTTATAGGAAGTAGACGTATTCGTTTTAAGTATTGAGTGGATTACAGGCATGCGGTTAAAGCCAGCAACAGTAAAGCAGGGTGGTAAATTGGTCCTTGCAACAGGAGATCTTGAAGAGCCCATAAAGCGTCTGCCAGGAGTCTGATCAGGTTGGAGTACCATATCCGCCTGGCAACGTTTGGGGCTTTGAAGATCACCGGAATGTAGTCCATCTCAATCCTTCAAAGCAGATGAGAAAGGAGTTGGAGGGAAGCCATAGATCAGGGTGTACTGGTCCCACAGAGTCAAAAGAACAACCAGTGCGTCCGCTAGCAGATCCCTGCACCTGGAGACAAATATGTTCAGTTTATTGTACCTGGAGGTCCAGCATCACCCATCTGTGACAGAGATCCTGGAATCCCTGCGGGTGTGGGGACCGCTCCTCTCGTTTCTCGTGCTGCCAGCAGTGAAAGCATGCATGCCACTTGTCTATGCTTGGGATGTAAATGGAGGACACGAATGGTAGCATGAAGTTCTGCCCAGGACAGGGTCCAGTCTACCTCACTTGCTGCAGCAAGACTTTTGGTTTCTTCCTGATGGTTGATGAATACCAATATCGTGCAATTCTCCAACTGAATCTCAATCAGATTACCAACCCAGAAGGATGGTCCATCGCTACAGATGCAGCCAAATCACCCACAGGTCCAGGGTTTTGATCAGTAGACAAGATTCCTGGGACAACTAAGTCCCCTGCACCAACAGGGTGCCCAGGATTCCACCACTGCCCAACAGGCTGGCATCCATGGTGAGGAACTTCCAAAATTTAGGAGGGAAGGACCTCCCAGATTTCAGAGCCAGATTTCTGTGACATTAAGCCAAGGACAACTAGTTCTCAGTGCAAACAATTGGTCTGTCCAGTGCATACAGTATAAGGACTTATCCCAGAATTACAGAATGTTGTGTTGTAGAGGTCTAGAGTGAAACTGGGCAAACGGGTCTGTTTCAAAAGGAGGCTTTCTTCAGACCCAGGACTCATGTAAAAGACGAATTCTGGACTGAAGGGCAGAAATATGCAATAGAAGAGTTTGAATTTTCTCCTGACTCTGGCCTGAGCTGTGTCTAGGACTAGATCCAGATAATCAAAAAGCCGGCTCCAGTGACAATTTCTGAAGGTTCTGTATACAAACAAACTGTTGTCCGACAGACCTTTCTGGCACCACCTTCCTGGGCATCTGGAGCCAAGCACTTGTTAGCATAGGGCTAGGGTTACCTGGGAGAACCACAGTTTTTATAAGCATAGCAGGGAGACTGATTGTTTGCCACTCCATCACTGTCATGCTGGTTCGTTCCAGAAAAAAGGCACAGTTTCAGCACAATGCAGGGCATGTCGGGAAACGAACCAAAGGAAAGGCTCGCCCAAAACATTCCCACAAATATTCATCCTAAGATAAAAAGCAGCTGTTATTGTAGTATTATATGTCCTGGTAGGATTAAAAACTAACAAGAGTCACTCAGCTTATATAAAAAATATATGGCAAGAATCTTGCCAAATCTTATTTAGGAGAATTTACATATTTTTTTCATTGGGTGAATTTAGCTGACAAATCAATGATAAATATACCCCCAAGTAACTGATCAGTATATACCTCATTTAAGTCAGTATTTAGATGTACCTTTGGTAGCAAATAAAGCCTTAAATCTGTGAAGCTTTGTGAGGTTGCAGGGATAAGTGAACAGACTTTTTCAAGTATAGCCACAAATTCTCTATTGGACTGAGAGCAAAATTCTGACTTGGTCTTTCCAGTACAGTTATTGTTTTAAATAATTCTTGTGTAGTATCAGCTTTATGCTTGGAGTCAAGGTTTTGTGCAAAGACAAATCTACCAAGGCTCAGGTTTCTTGTAGACTGCATCTTTTTTAGTTCCAGGATCTCCCTGAATCTGACGCATGCATTCTACCCTACAGCTCAAAGGCCTTTCAGGGCCTGCTGCAGAGAAGCATGTGGCCACCACCAATCTTGACATGGTGATATTTTTGTGCAGATGTGCAGTGTTTGGGTTATCACCAAACTAGGTGTTTAGTCTGATGTGCAACAAGCTCAACATTGGTCTAATCAGACCACAGAACCTACTTCCACCTGAATTTAGAGTCTCCAGCATGCTTTCTGGTGAACTGTGGACAAGACGTCATGTGAGTTTTAGATAACAGTGGATTTCTTTTTTCCTTTCCCCTGTAAAGCTGCAACTATTGAAGCATCCAAGCTACAGCTAGCTGTTTAATGCATATTCTTTACAATCTGAGTCAAAGAAGCTCTGAATTCCTTCAGAGTTATTATAGTTTTCTTGGTGGTTTCCATAGCCAGTCTAATTCCTGCAGTCAATTTTGGTGGATGGCCTGTACTTCTCAGATTTACAGATGTGACACATCCTTTCAATTTGTTAATGACTGATTTACTTGTACTTCAAGAAATATTCAGTCACATGGAAATTTTCTGAAATAAATTCGACTTGTGTGGACACAGGCCCTCACATTTTCACAGAGTTGTGAAAATGACGTTTAGCTGCAGGGCAGGGAGCACCTCCACACAACCGACTGGGCTGAGAGGAGGGGGTCGCAGTCAGATTTAAGTGGAACTCAGGCAAACTGGGTTTACACCAAGTCCAGCCTCATAATGTATACTACAATCAATTAAAAACCCTGGATTAGAAACATGTGATGTCCATTTAACTAAATATGTAGTTCTGGAAAACAATGCCTGCAGTTAATACTTGTGTGTGTCATATTAAAGGGTGTGCATACTTTTCAGACATTTGTTTGCACTTTGAAATGAGTCAATTTCTGTTTAAAAAAAAAAATACCGCACTAATTTCATGTTGAATTATATTAAAAAACAAGAAAGCTTCCAAGTGGGTGAATACTATTTATGGGAAAATCTCATATGTGATCACTCAGTTATGTTTAAGCTTTTACAGTGCTGAAAAAACAAAGTTACACCAGTACACACTAATGCAGCTTATTATGTCATCTACCTGTTCACTGGTCCTTGAATGAGCATTATTTGCAGTAATTAGGATCCCAATTTGCTCTCCCATTTCTGTACACTGCCTGAACACCTCTAGCTCCTGTTTACTGTGCCAGAAAATGTTAGACTGACAGCACTGCATAAATATAATATTATATATTATATTATTACTGGTCCCCATGCAGAACCTTCTGCGTAGCCAAATTTCTGCTGTGCAGGGGATTGTGAAAGTAAATGTGTAGCAATCAGGATGTTTTACTAGAAGCATTTTAAAAACCCAACTGTCCTAAAAGGTTTCCAAGGTAGCAGTGCCAATATGCATGTACCGTGCGGTGGGCCTCTACTAACTACTGAACTTCTAACATTGAAAAGTTGAATGGCAAGTTAAAGATAATGGAGACTCTGCAATATCAGTCCTAAAACATTTCTATAGGTCAAAAACTACAAAAAATGTAAATATAAGTGGCTATTAACCATAAAACAGGATTTATTGTCTTAGCTGTTGGAGTGCATCAGAGGACCAGGGTGTTGAACGGATGGGTTATGCAGCTACCTCCAATATGGTTTGTCACTAGAAATCAAAGCTGTAGGACAGTGGTGTAA